ATATCCTTATGGAGGTTTCCGTCTCGTCGCCTGATTGCACAGTCGTTGACCTAATCGGTGGAGAATTTTCGTTAAACGTAGAATATTCAGATGACATAGTCCTGTTAGGTGAAGACGTTGATAAGATGCAGAGTCTTCTGAACACTTTACTTTCAGTGGCAATTTGAGAATGTTTTGGATGCGTTTCTCACTATCCAAATGCAAATTGTTGCTCCAGGATGGCCCTCAACGGTGCCCCACCGCAGTTAACAATAGAGAGTGAAGTAATTGAGTGTGTCGACCACTTCACTCACCTGGGAAGTAGGATGAGCCCTACCCTAGTGGGTCAGTGGGCGGTGAGATCTTTGCACAGATACAAAAGGCTCGGTTAGCTTTCACCAACTTACGCCGTCATATCCCATTGTCTATTATGGGTCGCGTGTACTGCACAGCAGTCCTGTCTGTTCTACTGTATGGCTGTGGAATGTGGCCATTGAAGGTAGAATACATGAGAAGGCTTCAGGTGTTTGACCACCGTTGCCTTCGCAGCATAGGTCGTATTCCATGGTGTCACCACTTGAGTAACGCAGAAGTCAGGCTCAGGAGTAGAGTTTTAGGGAGGAGAGGTAAGTCAGTTGACGAGGTTATGAAACTTCATTGACTGAGATGGTTGGGACGTGTGTTATGTATGCCTAGTCACCGATCGCGTCGTCACACAGTGTTGGCTGAAGTAGGTCCAGACTGGAAAAAGGCCCGAGATGGCCAGACTAAAACATGGCACCAGTGTGTTAAGTCTCTGACTGTTGGTTTGAGTCATGTGGCGAGATGCAGACTAGCCGGTCGGGGTTCACGGGACAAAAGAAGCCAGTGGTTGGAGACTCTATGTGATATGGCTGAGAACCGATATCAGTGGCGCAGATATATACATACATTATCCTCACTTTTGCATTATACCGAATCTCACCATTTTTTCATTCTTCCTTTCTTTCTTCTCGTACTTTATATCTCTTCTGACTGAATTTCCTTATCTTTATCTTGCAGTTCACTGCTTTTTTACTTGATGTACTGATATGAGTTGTGGCAACTCGGACCGTTAAGCAGTAATACCTGATCCTATATTGATCTGGATGCATGAATAATTGTGGTCCTAAATGTCGTAGAAATGTTAAAATGTGACGCTTTTGGCTTTTTTACTTGCTTTTTGTATATTTATATGATTATGATGTATGAAAACTTTGCCTGGTTGACTAGTTCACTGGTTACTAGCCGGTCCTAAGCCTGGATAAATAGGGAGGGCATAGGGCTAGCAATCCTGCCGCGTAAAACCAATCTAACCGCTAAAGAAACTTCAAAGCACGAAGGAAATATAAAAAATAAAATTAAACTTATTCGTCACTGGAATTGGAGAGACGAAATGACGCCGGTTGGTGAAAGCCTTCGGGAAGCCAATTAGCCGATGTGTCTTTGCTTCCCTCGATGAAAAAAAAGTATGGATGGGGACATGAAATGTCCGAACGATGTTTGAGGCTGGCTGGAAGGCTGCCCGGATTGCGAAAGTGATGAGAAGGTATGTTATAGAAGTGCTTGGAATCTGCGAAAGTAGATGGAATTGAAGTGGACTCTCCAAACTCTTAACTGGAGGTTAATAATCTACTCCGATATTGTCACACGGACAACAACCACGAGCACAATGAGTTTTGGGTTGGCTATCATGGTGTCCCCAAAAGCATCGAAGGCTCTCATGCAGTGGGAACCAATCTCCTCCAACGTCAGGATCATGACAACAAGATTCAACTCAAAAGGAAGGGAAGTCACAACCATACAATGCTACGCTACGCACCTTCAAATAATGCGGATCAAGAGAAGAAGGAGGAATTCTACAGACAACTGCAAGCAGTACTGGACAAGACCCCACCCCAGATGGCGACATCAAAATTATTTCTAATGGGTGGGGTGACATGAATGTCAAAGTCGGAGCGGACAACACAGGAAGAGAACTGATCATGGGTCAAGAAGCACTCAGTGAAATAAACGAGAATGGGGAACTGTTTGCAGACTACTGCGCACTCAACGATGTGGTGATTAGAGGCGAGGCAGCGTGTACAAACACAAGGAAATTCACAAGGCAGTGACATGGATTCGATTTCACCGGATCCCAGCATACACTAAAAATCAGATCGACTTCATCTCAATGTGAAGAAAATGGAGACGCAGCCTACTGGATACAAGATGAGATGAAGAAGGGGAGTAGATGTAGGTTCACACCACTTACTATCTAGTGCAAGGAACCTTCAAAATCAAGTTCGAAAGAAACCTACATAACCGTATTACGAAGGAAGACTAAAGAAGACAAGGAATAGGTCTCCACCAGCACATTGAAGCTGATAAAGCAGGGGGAGAAAGATGGTGAAGCAAAAGATGAGCCAGTGCAGTGCAGTGCAGGAATGAAGAAAGAAAGGAGGAACTGAGTACGACGTATAAAACACTGCACAAAGAAGTAAAGAAGAGTGCGCGGGAAGACAAAAGACACTTCTACGACATACTTGAAACTAAAGCAGAACAGACTGCAGGTAAGAGAGACCTGACAAAATATCAAATAACCAGGTTGCTTAATGTCTGGAAAGAGATCAACACAGACGAAATCAATGAAAAATGGTGAAGGAAACCTAGTTACCAAAGAGAAGAAACAATGGAAATAGTGGGCTGACCACTTCAAAAAACTCTTGAATCGACCACCACCACCCCCGCAACTCGTCCAGAAAAACCACCAGTAACCGCAGAAATACCAGTGAATACAAACCCTCTAACAGTGGCAGAAGTGAAGTCCTGAACGCCATAAAGTTGCTGAAATCCGGGGAAGCAGCAGGACCAGATGGAATTCCATCAGAAGCACTGAAAACCGAAGCAGAGACAACAGCGGACATGCTCATACCGCTGTTGCAGAAGGTTTGGAAGCAAGGAAGGAAGAAAAGGTACTTCCCTGCTGATTGGAAGAAGGGCTACCTCGTCAAACTCTCAAACAAGAGGAACTTAAGTCTTTGTAGGAACTGGCGAGGAGTCATGCTGCTGTCCACACCCACTCTGAGCAAAATATTAAGCCGCATCATCGTGGAGAGGCTAAAGGATGCACTGGATTGAAAATTACGAGCGAAGCGGGCTGCTGGCTCAAGGAAAAACGAGTCATGTGCTGATCACATTGCAACGCGACGCTTCGCATCATCATAGGACAGAGTATAGAATGGCAGTCAACTCTCTACCTCAATCTCGTCGACTTTGAAAAAGCCTTCGACATCGTCGACCGGGAAGTAATTTGGCAGCTGCTTCAACATTACGGAATATTACAAACCTTTATCAACCTCATTCAACAACTATATGAAGACGCCACATGCCAAGTGATCCACAATGGAAAACTCACTGACGCCTTTGAAGTGAAGGGAGGAGTGAAACAAGGCTGCCGCCTGCTATCACCCATGATCTTCCTGATTGTGGTCGACTGGACTGAACTGGATCATGCAACAAACTGTGAGGAGCGAGAAGATGGGCATACGCTGGACCGGTGAAAAGACCCCAGGAGAAGATTTAGATTTCGCCGACGATAATTTATGTCCAATGTCTTGTCGCACAAACTCGAAGACACGGGCGAAAACTAACAAAATGGCAGAAGAGGCAGGACAGCGAATACGGGACTTCAAGTGAATATAGAGAAGACAGAGGTGATGAAGATACCAACCCACAGCAACAATAAGCACCAATCACTATCAACGGGAGAAACTTGAAGGAAATAATCTCTTTTACCTACCTGGGCAGCATCGTCTCAACTACAGGCGGTGGCACAGATGAGGACGTCAAAGTGAGGATCGGAAAGACAACAAGACAGGCCTTCATTAACGTGAAATCAGTATGGAGATCTACTGCACTGCACTACACTCATCGTAAAGAACAAGATCCTGGTTTTCAACACATGTCAAGTCAGTGCCTCTATATGGTTCGGAAACTTGGCGCGTCATGAAAAGCATTTCCAGCAAACTACAGACATTCATCAACAGCTGCCTATGCTCGATACTGAAGATTAGATGGCTAGAAAGAATAAGCATCGAGGAACTCTGGCCTACCAACAAACCAACCAAGAACCCATCACCCAACAGATATGCAGAAGAGAGTGGAGATGGAATGTATTGAATGTACACTGAGAAAACCATTCAGAGACATCAGGTGCCAGGTGAGGACTTAGAGTGAAATTCAAAGGGGAAGCGACCAGTCGGGTGTCCGAGGGTGACATGGAGGAGATCATGTGGGAAGAAATGAAAGCTTCTGGGCAGTCGTGGATCCAGGTTAGGATGACTGCAGAGAAGAGTGAAGTGGTAACATGCTACTAAAGCCCTATGTTCCACTAGGACCCGAGGGACAATATAATAATAATAATAATATTTTATGAAACATTCTTTTTCTGTTACCATGTGAATAGAATATTTATGTGCTAAAGTAGTGTTTGAAATGGTACTATAGGTTAAAGAAATCGAAATTCTGGTCAAAATTGAAATCGTGTCTTTTAAGAGTCTAAACTTTCACTTGTATCTTCAAATTAATTCAGTCTTTGAAACAAGTGTTGTGTTTGGTCGTCCAATAGTCGTTAGTAACGGCTTTGAAATAAAGGACTGTGAAGACCTAATAATAAGCCATAGCGTAAATGAAATTGTGATCGCGTTGTATCACAAACTGGATGGTTTTGAAAGTTCCAAGTCATTCAACTCACACTTGGCGATTAGATGACTATTTGTTCGCAACGAAACGGGAGGGTCCTGGGTAGATATTACCAAGTCTGTGTTATTACGTTCCTCAGGACCAGTCCTATAATCCTAAAGCAACTGTTTAGTGTTTCACAATTTCAGTAGTTATCCCGCAGACGTTTCATGAGGATTTTATTTATGTCCATATTTTTTGATTTTCATATCATTTTAGCTTTTACTTTGATTTTTTGAATTAACGTAGGGTAAATCCAGTTGCGTGAGTAGCTGAGTGAGATGTCGTCGTGTGCACCGTATTCATACCGTTATACCAACCGTTCACAGTATCTGTTTGAATTCGAAGGAGTTCCATTCAACTTTGTTCTCAACGGCATTATTTTCGTAGTAAGTTTTACACGTTTATAATGTTTGATGAAGCATACAACGGTGGATTATAATGCCTAGTTTATAGAAAATTCATTATTGATAGGATCTTATAACCAATATGCACACATAATGGGATCCTGGCGACGGCTTTGCAGCGTTGTTAGCTCAGAAGAAATGTCTCAGTTTTCGGATGGTTTTCCGAAGGAGTGGCGAGTTCCTATAGGGCTATGTGTCGTAACACTTGAATAGCACACCAGTCAAGGTTGAAAGCAAGTGAGATTTAAGAGCGTAAATGCAATTATGAGTAAACATCATGGCATTCTAATAGAATCACTTGCCTAATATCGGAACGCATGTGCTCATAAAATCAGTATACTTGGCATTATTAATGGTAACGAGTTTTAAAAAAGGAGGTATTAGATGCGACTTAGTTTTTTATTGTTTGGTTTTCTTATTTGGTTCCTGTGCCTTTGCTGTTGCGTCCTGAAAACGCCTTGGGCTTCCAACGAATAGTCACGAAACAATATTACCATTTTTATGAAAACAAGGCGTATGTTTTGTATCTGTAGGCTTTATTGGGCCCACTTTCTACGGAAAATAAAATTATTTGTGCTAGTAGCTTAAAGCGTACTCTTTGTCGTGGTTTGCTAGCGATGTTTGGCTGTTATATGTTTGATGTCGATTAGCAGGAAGCCCTAGAACTGAGTTACGTGCTATCTAAGACTCATTCTTTATAAATCTCATGTTTCTTCCAAGTTCACATCCTGCTTCACTAAGTATTAAATTCAGAGGCTTCATCTCTGAACTACTCATATCACGACTCGCTGTAAGACTTGATCGTGTACGTGAGTCGACCAACGGTGGCTAACAAATATAAAGCTGTCCGGTCTTTAATGCTCACATTTTCGACGAGCTTAGTAGTATGGTCACTAAGCTAGGTAACATAATATTGCTTCCCACCGTATTTGTCTTAGATGTTGAAGGTCAATTGATGAGAAATCTTAGACGTAGACTTGTCGGAACTCATTGACAATGCATAGCTGTATGTAACTGTCATGTCTGTAAGTAGCCACACTGCAAATTTTTTGGACAGACTTCTATCAGTGCTAAACAGTTATGACTTGACACTGACCAATACTTGATTCGGAAAGAAATTGTCGAGCTCTTCAGCACTATTAGTAGTTTGAACATATACATACATTGTCTAGTCAGTAATTTTTAGCCAATGAAAAGGTTCGTTTGTGTTAATGTCATTTCAAAAGGCGTCAATATGTAGTTTCCGATTATATGAAGTAGTGTCCTAAATCTAAGTCCCATATCTACTAACAGTGGGGCTTATCTGCAATCTTGATAGGGACGAATATCTCAAGATTACGACCTTGTATCATTCATGGTTTTGAATATGGACTGATGCATTGGAATTTCGATAGAGCGTTGGAAAACAGGTGATTTGCGTACTTGAAAGCAAAATTATCAAGTACCATAGCTCAAAAATCCAGACGTTTGCTAAATACATCTTTTGAATGAATACAAAGGTTTCTAGCGTTAGTGATCATTACATCCGTGTTCAACTATCTTGTCAAACTACGATAGGCGATTAACTTTCACTTACCTTCATTTTCACTCATGATCAAGCCAGATGAATAAATTTCTTGTAGCGCATCTACCTCTTGACTGTAACAAACAGAAATCTATTTTTATGCTGTCACTCAAGACACTGATGAAACCCCTCAGTTTTCAAGCTTCTGTTACTTAAAGTAATGTCATTCATGTATTTTGAATTCGTGACGGAAAATACTGCTATCTGATAAGTTGTTGCTTATCAGAGTGGCTTATAAAGCTTGATCAGCCATAAGTCGAAACATCTTATTTAACTTATGTTGTATATTTTCTGGAGAGATGTGTTCGAGATGCATTTCATTTCCCCCCTCCAATGTTAATTTACCGTTTTGTCAGCACGTCTCAACTGTAGAGCTGTGTAGCTCACTGGTTAATTACTTGATGGGTCATGAGTTTGAACCCTGCTCCACCTACCGAGGTTTGGGTGGCCAGGCAGTATTACATCTCACACAATAAATGTGGTTCAGTGTCTACTGCACGAAGGCGCACAAGGTTGATGGACGGATTTCACTTTTCTTTTCGAGCTTGTTTCAGTTGGAATTGGGACAATGTTTAGTTAAATTGTGTTGAACTATGCTTGATGCAATGGATTTTCACCAGTCTATTCGTGATTATTTGCATTTTTTTTTCACTTACTATCAACTTCTAGTTGGCTTAAAAGCTGACTAGATTTACGCTATATAAGCGGTTGGGTTTTCTGATCAGATTGTCAGAGCTCGGATAGTGGCATCACCTCAAAAGAACAACGTCTGAATTTTATAATACCTCATTCTAGCTGGCTAAATCTGCTGCTTGTTGGTGTGGGTAACATCCAACTGCTTATATCGTTGGTGTGCATAATTTTTCTAAATGGTACTTTCTAGGTGTAATATGTTTTATGCCATCCGGTATACGAAGTAGAAGTAAACTTTGTTTATCCTGCTGGTCTTATAAGATTAAATTAAATTAGTTTCTTTGAATCGTAGGTTTGCGTTGGACTTTATCTCATTTTCCGAAAAATTATTGAAAGAGAATTTGTTCCCAAAAGGTACGTGTGCCGTATCTATTTGTATTTTTTTTAACAACTAGAACTGGAGTTAAGAATGTATTACTTGTTTGCTTTTAGTCTTTCAAGTATATGTGTTCTGACTAAGATTTGCATCCAGTTTATTTTAGGCGTCACGGTGCTATCGTTTAAACTGTTGAGTAGAAGAAACCACCTCATACTGTGGGTAGCAGTTACAAATTGACATTTTTACAATCCACTGTTGATTTGGAGCAAATTTCTTGGTCTTTGTTGGCATATGAGCACTTTGTTTAAGATTCAGTATTACTGTCAATTATATGGTGTTGCTATTTAAAAAAGAAAACACTTGTTTTCATTTCTGACTAACTTTTCTTGGACTTTATACGTTCATCTGAAGACCCAGGTAAATAGTCGCGCTATATCGCGAATTGGCAAAAGTAGGAAATGTGGACTATTGAACACCAAGTCAGTGGCTGAGTGATTAATGCGTTCACTACGAGGCCTGAAAGTCGTGAGTTCGACCCCTGGCGGGGTGCGCGCCGTTGAGGAGTCCCGTACTGGGACGAAATAGGTTCTAGTACTACTGCAGTGGGCGTTACTGACCATAATGGATATAAGTAGTATATGTTGAGAGGGCAGCAGAAATCATAGGGAGTTACCAGCAATGGGTAAGGATTCTGCCCAGAGAAACGCAAGAGAAAACGCGGGCGTATTAAGAGCAAATCAAGATAGAAGCAGAAGAGGAAATGAAGCAAATTATCCAAATGATAGTTTTAGTGCAAGGTGTACCATATTTGATGACTACTGTACCAGATGTTATTAGTAAACATTCCTTCCTTCGTCTCTGTCTTCCCGTTGCCTTCACTACCAGGTTCTCAATGGTTCTTTGACTGATTTCAGTCCGTGATGAATACTACCTTGAAATGTCTTAATGTTGTATATTTCGCATCAAGCTGAAGTCCACTGTGTATAAGTTGGTGCTATAAATTCATTTTGTTGTTGAGTTTTCATGAACGGCATAAAGCAACACAGCAAAGCCCCTAATCAAAAAGTCACAGTAAAAACTTTGAGATGGAATCTTGCGTTTTCTGCTTTTCAAATTAGTGTTTTTTTTTTAAAGCAATCACTTCAAAGCTGTGGATTGTTTTCAGTCATCGAATAAAAGTATCCATGTTGCCTTCCGCTTCATATATTTGTAGTCAGATTCATAAAGTTAACCATTAACCTGTCGTTAATTGATTTGTTGTTTGTGCTTCTCATGTTGACTTGAATCTCGACATGGCATGCGGTGGGTTTTTAAGCTTTCAGTCTAACGATTAAGAGTTCAGTATGTAGGTGTCTGCTACCTTGACACAGTGGTCAGGGTTGCATACCACAATGACCCAGTTAGCGAAACTGGCTGCAACCCTTGCTCCTTGAGGTGCTACCAAGCCAGAAAGGTTTGTTGGATAGTAGTAAAACAAAAAGCAGTCGTCATCATGGTGCTAATAGCTACGTTGTATTGGGGGTCCAAGGGTGAAATCATACTATTGACCGGAGCGGAACGTGGCAGCAGTAAGGTGTTTTCCGTGAATGACTAGCAGTGTCTTACTGATGCTGCCTTCCCTACATATTGTACCACCAACGCCTAGTTCTATGTTTATGTATGAGATTTAAAAATATATCTAAAACAAGTTACATATCATGTGCCTGATTCGAGGACCTAAAGAATTCCACCGTCCTTAGGAAAGATAGATCACAAAAACGTCACACTCCCCACTCCCCTGTAATATTCGTGTGTCGGCGGTGTAGGTATGCCTCGTCCGGCGGTAGTATAATCACATCTGAATCCAAAACCCTTAAAAAGACCGTGTGTGACGGGCCTAAAGCAATGTCCAGTGAGCCCTATCATCATGTGAAGATTATCGCTTGTATCTCCTAGGCATCTCTTGGGACAAATTTCATGGAATGCGCAGCTGCGATGTATCGACCGCTCGTACGCTTCTGAGAGTATTCACAACCCAGCTAAAAATAACCTACCTTCCACACCTATATCTCCTCTCTTGCTTTCATTTTCTGATATCAATATCAAGCGCCTACCAGCTTCCTTAACCTTTCACTCTTCAACCATTGCTAACGATCCAAACCAACAAAGCACCGTTTGTAGTCTTCTGGAAAGACGCTGCTGAATGTGGTGAATCTGCAGAATTCTCTTGAGGAATGTCCAGAGTTTCAACATTTAGCTCTCATCGAATTACTAGTGTAGGTATAGCATTAAGCTGTAAACATGAAGCGCACTTCTATAGTGGATACCGGTTGGTACGAGGAAACAGATTTATAAGCAGTGAAAGAGACCGTGGTACCTGTCAACGCTCTTTGCAGATTCTACATACGTGCAGGTTGGATGATTAAAGACTGAGTCACATGTAAATTTGTCAATTTTGGTACATAAAGAAAAGTGTTCAGATGTAGTCATTACATCAGACAACTTCAACGCTTAAGCAGGGAAGCTGAGTTGGTCGGAGAAGTATCTTGAAGACATCAACACTATCTCCTTCTGACAATCGGACTGCGGTAGTTGTCTCCTACAGTCTTGTTCTGGAAGTCACTTTTCCTGGTCAGCACTAGCTTCAAGTGCAAGAAGAGACGCTGTTTCAGTGCGCATCTAACGATCCCAAACCAACAATGGACACACATAGGTGATACTGCTACAAGCCATCGTTTGAAAGGATCAGTGGGAGGATTGCTACTCTTTCTGGGGCACCTGCTGGGATTACGGCTACGCATCAGTACAGGCTCGTGTATGTTTGTACCTTGCAGGCCACAGGGAAGAAATAACCGTGATGCCTCTGTGTGTTTAACTAGGATATGAGAACATCAGGTGTTTATTTACAGAGGAGTTAAATAAGTGCTTATATGAGCATGGCAGTGATTTCCTTTGTCATGAAGCCTAGCGTAATATTCATTCTGCTGTAGAAACAGTGGTAAAGACGGTTGATAAGCTACATTCAAAGGTTGGTAAAAGTCAATCAGTTCCACAGTCACATTCGAACTCATTGATGGGAGAAGACTCATTCCAACTGGTTCTGACCATAATCATGAATGAAGGCAGCTCAGACTGAAATTGACTAAGAGTCTTTGCAAAAACTAAGAGCAATAGATTGGTGGCAAGAGGGAAGGTCGTGTAGAAGGGATGATATTTAAACACTAATTAGACGTAAAGTGGTGTTGCTGCTTACTTGTTGTACATTGAGTTGATAGTATTTTCTCGCCAGTTTACTTATTTGGGACGTGGTATTAGCCATCACAGGTTAGAGGCTGAGGAAATATTAGCGAAAATACTAGATACTTTTTTGTGTTTGGCAAGTTGCATCACTTCTCGCTCCAGCGGAACATCCGACCATTTAATAGAGGGCGAGGATACTGCTCGGCTGTCAGCTATGCTTATCGGACTGCACTCGCAACGCCATTTTTGTCTATTCATGGTTTACGGTGCTGACATATGTTCACGGACTGTGTTATGCTTTTATTTGAGGGAATTAGACAGTATGTCTCAAAATGTCTTATTGCTCATTTTCCTTTTCACTTGATTTCCTTTCCTGAACATTCCATGTTTCTTCATTTCCAGAAATTTACGTGATGATGCAAAAACAAGCGGTGCGTCCAAGTGTCCGAATTTAGTGCCTTATTTTTTGAGAATAAGGTAATTGCATACTTTAGTTTTTAATTGTTTCGGTCAATAATTGAGTCAGGATACTTGGCAGAATCTGAGAGTTTTGCTTTAGACCTTGAATATAAGGTTGTTGTAACTTGTCAGTGGAATATCTCTGCACACTGTTAGAAAAGCGCAAATTCATTAACAGTTCCGAGACGTACTTACTCTTAAACTGTCCTGGTCATAATGCGAATGTGTTGTACTCAGTACAAGACAGGAGTTCTGAAGATCTTTGTGAATACCCTGCAACTGTCCAACAGTTAATACCCTACGTTAATGTCGATGAATCTAGCACCGTGACCACATTTTATTTTTTTAATTGTGGCAAATTTCGTTTCATCACTGTGATATGTTTTATCTGTTAATCGTTTCTTCTACGTTTGTATGTATTTTTAAAGAATGCTAAATCTAATCCCACTGTAACTCAAGTTTTGTTACAGTCTGTTTTAGAGGTGAATTCTAGTGTGTGCGATTGAGGGTATTTAAAATTCTTTCCAGTCTACGTGTTTGTTTTCCGCTCTCTGGTTGATTGTATTATTCGTGTTATTATTCTTCACACAAGAAATGTAGACGCAAATACAAGTGTATCTTATCAATTCTGTTAGCTTTTTATATTTATGACGCCACCAGGATCGTTTTGAAAACAATTTTAGACTGGTTTATGTCTCATAGAAACAGGTGAAATCAACATAGAACCTCACACAAAAGTGCATCGGTGGAAGTTGCCACCCATCACAGCAATATGCAAAGAACAAGTGGATAGAAAAAAATCGATATCAAAGTAGGTAAGGGTGCGGATAATTTGAGAATGTGGTTAGTGAAAATATTTAAGCTTCATATGATACCAGAGAGTGAATATATGTATGCCATTGTAACCGATTTTCAGCCGTGTTGCTAAGACTCTCTAACCACCGATTCGTATTATCTTGAGGATCCCGATTAAGTGGTTTACACCTCGACACATGACTGAAATGAAGATTGGTGGTGGTGGTGGTCTAGCCACTGTTATCCTTCCTCTAATCTAATGTTACTTTGGCTGACATTGTACGTTGAGATAGAGAGTGGTTCGATATGTGTAACACATGTCAGAGTCATTTCATTTGTTGAGGTTCGATAGAAGCTTCGGCTGAAGTGACTGCGCATATATTATCCATACCGAGGTCATTGGTTACGCTAGTATATCATGTTATTGAGATTGAGTACAATGAGGAAATCCTTAATTTTGTTAAGACAAAACATGAAGCTATCTCAAAAAACCAGTGATTTCCGGCATAAACTATGTATGACATCTAGGGTATCTTGACTATGGTCTCAGAAACAATAGCATTTGGGATAGACATGACAATTGATCAGATTGATGTATTGACTAAATATCGTGATGTATGTATTGGGTTCTTTCCGTAACCACATTTATTAATCTGAGATAATGGAGAATATTTGTAGCTCAAGAGGATGATTTTGATATTGTTGGGACGCAATTTATCAATCAACCAAAGAACAAGGAAGGCAAAGTTCACGTCAGCAGGACAGCTGGTCGAAATGCATGTGGAGACTGGCTAGATGTCAACAGAAGCAACTATTCACGCTCAAAGTCATCAAAACAAGCTACTAAGCCACTTATAGAATAAACCTCATTACTAAATTCTTTCTGAAATTTATTATGATAATGTTGCCTAGAATGATAAGGAAAACTTCACAAGCAAACCGACCAGCCCAAAGAACACGACACTACTTAAATTTATCTCTCAATTTTTGTCCTCTGGTTTTTCTAGCTCCTTCATCACTACTGGTTTGTTGGTTTCACTTAATAATTATAATCGTAATATATGTATTTAGATTTATTAAGTAAGATTCTAAACGTGATATGAAAGCTGCAGACAGAGTTGTGCATAATTTTGTCATGATTTCGTTTTGTAGAATGAAGGCAAGGATGAATGTGACAAACAAATTCTCACTCCCCTCTAAATTTTGCAATTTAGACTAGCTACTGGCACCTGGCACTGGTTGTAGTTCTTTACCTGAAGACTATGGTTTGTAACTATGTCTGTGTGTTGTGATGTTTCTTTGTTACGTCACCTTATTAAGAGTCTATACTCCAGCACACTTGGCTGTCCTGGAAGTTATAATGAAGTGTTTACATCCAGTGGTGTCCATCAGAAATACTCTTCGTCCAACCTTACAGGAGTTGGTGTAATCACACGAGATTCCTAAACTGAAGTCATATTTTTGTTAGGCAGAAATTCGAACAACATGTATCCTTTCGGTGACTAAGTGGCAATCGGAAGATGTTTGAAATAGACTTCTCAATTCCTCAGTGCAAACTTCTGCTTTAGGACTGCTCTGCATTTACTCCCATCTGACAATAGGTAATGAACTGATAAAATGTTTCGGTCACTTCACTTACCTGTGGCGTTGCGTCAACCCTTGCGAACCAGTGGTTGACGAAATCTTGGCACAAATGCAAAAAGGTTGGTTAACTTGTAGTAACCTTTACCACTTACTGTGCCCGTAAGGAATCTGAGCTCGTAATGAGTGCTACCTTTATATCTGAATATATATAAAGGGTCGAGTGGACTGCATAACAGCTTGCCATATCCTGAAATATAAGTATGAAAGATGAAGGTGGAGGATGTGTGAAGACTTAAAGTATTTGATCCCGTTGTCTTCGTAGCTCCTGTGTTGTTGAACCACTTTTTAATCAGTATAGAAGTTCGACGCAGGATCATTAACAAAGCGTATGTCACCCTTTGAGATTGTAAGTCTTCATCAATCAACGTGGTCGAGCCATATTTTACGCATGCTAAATCATCACATACTTAAACAATGTTTGTTATTTCTAGTGTAGGATTGGGTTAGATGAATGTTAGGGGTAACCAGACTGAGTTACGTCACTGATTCATCGTACTTTGACTTTTGATCTGAGTTGTTTGTCGAACTATCACCTTTCTAATTAAAGTTAGTGTGGCAGTTGAAATTACTGGTTGGTCACTCAGTGATATGGCTCAAATCCGTTCACGGGGGTGCAACTGCATTCGTGTTTTATTTTCTACTGATACGGGTTGTCTTTATTAATGGTTTTCGACAACCTCTCTTACTGCAACCTTCATTTATTTCCCACTCCTCTTGTCACCTTCTACTTTGTATGATGATTTGAAGTTAGGGGACTGAGGTCATTCCTCTGTAACTATGTGTGTTTATTTCTTTTTTCTGACAGTGGTAGTTGAATAGTGAATGTAGATGGTAAGCTGAAGTTGTATGATGCAGTCATTCAAGTAGGCGTTAAGATGGAAAAAACAAACTGAACTGGTAGTGATTCTGCTGTGGTTTACTTCTGTTTTCCTTTGGATTGATTGTTGAAACTTCCTTCAAAGTGTTTAAGTATCTCTTTTTCTAACAGTATGTGATATATCTTCTTGCTCAATCGCATTCGAAATAAGTAATAGACCAGTAAGATTGTACAAGTGTAAAATAAACGGATGTACTGACAACTGACTGAAAAATCAACTTAGAACCTCACACACAGGTGCATCGGCTCAAGTCGCCACACTTCACTGTAGTACATGAAGAATAAGTGAATAGAAGAAGAGTTATATCAAAGTAGACAAAGTTGTGGAGAGAAATAAGAATCTGAAGAAGGTGTCTAGGAGTGAATATATCTGCGCCACTGTGACCAATTTTCAGCCATCTCACCAAGAGTTCTTAACTGCTGATTCATCTCGGAGACCCTAACCAAAACGTCAGAATCCCTGCACATGACTACTACCAGCAGTGAGAGACTTCCTTGACTGGTATCAAGTCTCGGTCTGGCCACCCTGAATCCTCTTCCAAACTAATCCAACTTCCCTTGACATGACACGTCGAGGTAGGCATTGGCTCGCCATGCAGTCCAGTCTACTAAGATTCACAACCTTATCAACCGACTTGCTTGTTTACCCCCTTCTCCTGACCTCAACATTGTTTGCACGGTGATCCCAACAAATGTGACCAATGCTACGAAGATATCTGTGGTCGAAACGGTGTAGGCGCTTCATGTCTTCTACTTTCAACGGCCATGTTTCACAGCCGTATGCCAGGAAAGGGATTAACATCTAATTTTCAAGATTTGATAGAAGATTTAGTTTGAATGAATTTGCACCATACTAGTTGATTTGGAACCCTATTACCCATGTTCTCACACCACTGGTTGCTAATATTTAGTGGATTGTACTTGTGCAGTTAACAATCATCTATCTTGACACCAAGTTGAACGTTCTATAGATTCGACTAATCACTTGTAATTTTGCGAAAAGCATAAACCTACCCTCAAAGACCAAGTTACTAATTTATTCAAAGTAGGTTTCACTTTCAGTGATCCAACTGAAAAAAAAATAATTATTTTGATTTCATTTTAATTTCTGTGGTGTAGAAGTGCGCATTTTTAGTGTGCAAACATGAAATCTAAAACATGTTTGTACTTTTTCTGGTTGTAATTTCTTGCGCAGCCTAAGTAACTAGTAATCGATTTCTCTGTGCTGATCATATTAGTTGATTAGCTTTAAGAAAAAGGAAGAAACCAAGCTATCAGAGCCTTATACTTCACTCTGTTGGACTATTGTTTAGCTTAGTAATGTAATTTGTTTTAAAATTTCTATTAGGATCATCTTGACGTTGTTAGCTCTTAGTACAGATTGATGTGCATAAAACGTGTTACAATATATTACGGAACATATCAGAGAAATCAATATTGTACTTACTTTAGAGTGCGAAATCCATGTCGCGAGAATATATATGTTTTACTTTCCTTCCAACCCGTTGACCACTGTTGGTTTTAGCCAGTTGATCATATTTTACGTGATGGAGGAAGGTCAGTTATTGTCGTTATGGCCTAGTTTTGGCTAAAATAGTTAAGACGTGTTGTACATATACGAGAATTATATCTTTAAAAGCATTTATTCATTTACAGTACTTGAAGCTAACTAACTAGTTTACCCTTGCATAAGTTTAGGTAT